TGGCTGACGATTGATTTGCTGTCAATTTTTTTTTGCTGATTCAAAAAAATTCAACATTTTTAACGAAAATTTTGGAGGTGCTAGATATTATTAAAAAATGTAAAAAAAATATTCAAAAATACTTTAATCTATTCTCTTGTTAATAACAAATATTTAGACGATAAATTATTTTCATTAAGTTTAAGGCCTTTTTTTATTCATGATATGCTATTTTTTATGGATCTCATGAATGGAATTAATAAGGGATATCGGTATATTTCCCTTATTAATTCCATTCCTTTGTTGTGAGATGTAAATTCTCACGAAATGTTGCATTTTTTTTTTTTTTTTTTTTGGAATCGATTTCTAAGAAGATACTTTAACTTTCCCTACCACTACCATAACCTGTTCGAATTGAGGGTTAACCTATATCTTCCCCACATATCTCCATATTAAAGTACGACTTTTAAACTCTGTAACCCCAGTGTCTCTTGGGATTTGTAGGGTGAACTTTGTTAATTAATAAAAACAAAAATTCCCCCGAGTGAAAAATAAAAGTATCCTCTCTTTATAAGGACAGGTCAATCAGCTAGAGCTGCTAAATTCACTTCTGATGAAACCAAATGCTCGGATAGGAAGCGGAACAAAAGATCAAAGAGTAGACCCTGTCCTGTATCAAAGCGAAGTTAACTGGTTGACTTGTCCTTAAGAATTTCTGGGGTTAAAATAATGTTAATGAGGTGTTAAATCCTCTAAAACTAAGTATCACTTAGTTTGAGGGGATTTAAGAAATGTTTTTATCTTATTTATTAAATGTTTTACAAAAAATAAAATAAAATAAATATTGATGATTTACTTTCTCCAAGTAGTCCTGTTTTACCTAATTAAAAAAAAAAAAAATTTCCCGCCCTAAAAATTGAATATCTTGAAATTTCATGAAATAAGTGGGTGGTAATATATGTAAAAGAAAATTTACACACAGTGTAACCCGGATATAAGAGAGTTGTCGGGACCGGAGAAGAAGTCTCTTATATCCGGGTTTGGTCTATTTTATATACATTAATACAAGCTCTAATTTGGGACCAGAGAAAATCTCTCTTATATCCGGGTTTCTCTTATATCCGGGTTACACTGTATATATAATTACAAAGATTTTCTAAAAAAAAAAAAAATCGCAAATAATATACTTCATTTCTGAATACGTCCTGAAAGTTTCATTAAAATCCAACAATTAATTGATTTTTGCAAGAATTTCCACTTTAATCTGTTTCACCGGAAAAAGCACAAAAAAAAAAAATAACTACTCTCATTGGTTCGACTGCTGATGTAAACAAAACAAGATTTTTAACCAAAATTTTGAACGTGCTAGAAAGGATTAAAAAAATTTTTAAAAATAATAAAAAATACTTTAGTCTTTCCTCTTAATAATAACAAATATTTTGATGACAAAACTTTGTTTTTATTCAGTTTGGGGCCTTTTTTCATCGTGCTATGCTGTTTTTTTTGCGAAAAATTGGAAGTACGTAAATTATTTATTAATTAAAATTTAGCCTACTATTATAATTTTTTTTTTTTTTTTTTTTTTTTTTTTAGGAAATAATTTTGTAGAGTAGCATTCTTTTTAGAGACTGTCTTAGGGCGGTGGCACTTGCCAGAATAAAATGGCGGGAAACTTGATTTAGTCACGCACTGGAAAAATATATTGTGCATGGATGGATTGCAACGCCTACTTGTGTGTTTATTGATCAATTAGAAACTGATATTTCTTGAAAATATTTACTAAGTTGAAAAGGCTCTTGGGATCCGTTTCTCCCAAAAGTGCACAAAATCGACTACATGAAAATATAGCGATTATAAAATTGTCGCATAGCTGCGATTTGTAAATTGTCTATTACACAGTAGTGTTGATTTATTATCCAATGAGTGCTTGTCGTTGTATAATTTGAATATGCGTAAGTATTTATGTATGTGTGTGATGATGATCATTACAAATTCACCCCAAGCAAAGTGATAATGCCACTAAGACACAATAAGCTACTGGGAGTGAAAGAGGAAGACAAAATTTCCGAAGAAACCAAAAGCCCAATCCTAAACAGCGAAGAAAGGTGGTCAAGCCATAACTTATTTTTAAAATTTCAGAAGTTTAGAAAATTTTTATTAAACATTTACTTGTTTTTAATATTTTTTAGGAGAAATATTATTTTGGTGAGAAAATGGACTTGCAGGTATAGTTGCAGTGGGTGTGTCTAGGGTAAGATCATCTTTCATCTCTCTTCAGGCTAATTAAGGTAAAAAATCATAAATTAATTGAAAATTGATTTTTATGAGCAGCAGTATTATTATTATTATTATTATTATTATCATCATCATAAATAAACAATCTCTGATTTTACAGAGAGTTATTGGATTTAGTGGCTTTCCATAAGAAAAGAATTCTTGGATGAAAGTGGGTTACAGAAAGATTTCTCTGAAATGATGAACAAATATAAACATTTTTTTAAGTAACAAACAAAAATTTACCTAAATTAATAAAATTATTTATCTGTTTATCCTTACTATAAGATAAATAATCATGAACAGCAAATGTTTGAGAATGTGCTTCTGAAAAGTTCTCATGCAAAAAACAAGTTTTAAAAAAGGTTTTAAAATTCTGTAAATTTAAACAAATATGCGGATATTGACAAACTTAACGCAATTTCAAACATGACATTTGTAAATAACAGCAAAGTGAAATTCTGTCAAAGTCAGGAATTGATTTGACACTGTATCGATATTATAAACAGGTCCCGGATGGTGGCGTAATGGATAGTGGTGCAGACTGAGGAATTAGAGAGCCGAGTTCAAATTTCAGTCAAATCCATAACATTCACTAATGTGCTAATACCTTTGGGAAAGGTATGAATCCTCTTCTTCTCTCGCCAGCTCTGGGTAAATAGCAGGACAGACTGGGTTCTATAACCTTGGATGGCAACTGGTTTACCACAGAAAGAAATGGCAACCTACTATAGGAAAAAAAAATGCCTCGTCAGTCATGTATTGAAAGATACATGATCGCCTAAGTGTGTATTACGCATGACATATGACTGACTGAAATTCACTTACATGCTAATACCCTTGGGAAAGGTATGAATCCTCTTCTTCTCCCCCAACTATGGGTAAATAACAGGACAGACCGGGTTCTATAGCCTTGAACAGCAACTGGTTTACCACAGAAAGAAATGGCAACCTACTATAGGAAAAAAAATCTACCTCGTCAGTCATGTATTGAAAGATACATGATCGCCTAAGTGTGTATCACGCATGACATATGACTGAAATTCACTTACGTGCTAATAACCTTGGGAAAGGTATGAATCCTCTTCTTCTCTCGCCAGCTATGGGTAAATAGCAGGACAGACCGGGTTCCATAACTTTGGATGGCAACTGGTCTACCGCAGAAAGAAATGGCAACCTACTGCAGGAAAAAAAAATCTGCCTCGTCAGTCATGTATTGAAAGATACATGATCACCTAAGCATGCATCACGCATGGCACATAACACACTGAGACCTATATACACCCACTACAACTTAAGCTGAAGTGCATGTGGTACTCCTGTGATCTTACAGGACTTGTGATTGTATGACCTTGATTACCATTCACCATATATTCTTGCTTATCATGCAACTTTTGAAAGTCTAATTTTGAAGCTAATTTTAAGTTCACATCATACACAAGATATAAAATTAGCATATGTACTGCTGACACTTGCTATGCCTTTGACCAAACTATATACTAATTTACTGTAGTCAAAAAGTACAGCTGTATTTAAAATAAACATGATTTTGATAAAACCTATTTTACTTAACTGTATCTAATAATAATGCATGTAATATTCACATATTAGTATCGTATTATCAAATACAAACATAGTGAATATGCATTTTTCAATTGTTTATGTTTTTAAGATGTTTAGCTTTTTCTTGTTTGATTGCTTATGGCTGGACGTGTTTACACAATGAGTATAGCATTACTTACAACACTTTTAGCATTCTCTTTTGCTTTTTAACTTATTTAACTTGAAAATGGGAAAAAGAGATAGAGGAAAAGAGGTTAGTCTATTGTAATTTGGTCTCTCAAAAAAAGGAACTCACATGATACACAAGATACATGTTAAAACATTTTTTACTCATTTAACTAGAAGATGGAATAAAGAGATAGAGGAAAAGAGGTTAGCCTATTGTAATTTGGTCTCTCCAAAAAGGAATACACAAGATACATGTTAAAATCATTTTTAACTTATTTAACTAGAAGATGGGATAAAGAGATAGAGGAAAAGATGTTAGTCTATTGTAATTTGGTCTCTCCAAAAAGGAATACACAAGATACATGTTAAAATCATTTTTAACTTATTTAACTAGAAGATGGGATAAAGAGATAGAGGAAAAGATGTTAGCCTATTGTAATTTGGTCTCTCCAAAAAAGAATTCACATGATACACAAGATAATGTTAAAATCTTTTTTAACTTATTTAACTAGAAGATGGAATAAAGAGATAGAGGAAAAGATGTTAGCCTATTGTAATTTCAAAAAAAAAAGGAATACACAAGATACATGTTAAAATCATTTTAACTTATTTAACTAGAAGATGGGATAAAGAGATAGAGGAAAGATGTTAGTCTATTGTAATTTGGTCTCTCCAAAAAGGAATACACAAGATACATGTTAAAATCATTTTTAACTTATTTAACTAGAAGATGGGATAAAGAGATAGAGGAAAAGATGTTAGCCTATTGTAATTTGGTCTCAAAAAAAGGAATACACAAAATGAATTTTTAACTTATTTAACTAGAAGATGGGATAAAGACAGGAAAAGATGTTAGCCTATAATTTGTTCTCAAAATCATTTTCACATGATACACAAGATAATGTTAAAATCATTTTTTCATAAATGAAAATTTTTGAGTTACACGATGTGCTTTACACTAGTTTATATGGTAGTCACTCCAATTTATAAATTGTTTTTTCTTTGCAGCAGCAGCCATGTCGTTAATCACTATCCAGTTAGGTCAATGTGGCAACCAGATTGGTGGTCAGTTTTACTCGACCGTTCTGCAGGACATCCAGTCTAAGAACACACAAGTCTCTGCCAGGGCCAATGAGCAGTACATTGCGGAATCGGTTGAAAGGTTTGTGAAGTGATGAAAATTCAGCCAAAAAAAAATGTTTCTTTTTAAAATGCTAACAGCGTATGTGCAGGTAGCATAATGGTTATCAGCGTAGAAATCCGAATCAATGAGCTGAATTCAAATTCAAACTTTGTGCATAATGGTCACTTTTGCACTCATACCCTCGGAAAAGGCAAGAATACATCTTCCTTCCCACCTCCATATCAGCTTTCTAGCTGTTCTTGGCAAATAATCTTGGAGAAGGATAACACATCGGTGTAAGGAAACCATTATTCCAGACACCTTTCAAAAATGGGATATTTTTAAGTCTTTAATAATTAATTTGGTCGGTTGTTTTTTTTTGTTTTTTTTCTAGCAGTATTTCTATAAATACTTTCATGGTAATTGTTCGGATGAGCTCTTCACTATGGTACCTAGACTTTATGAATTTAAAGGTGAACATTGAAGTCAATACTCAGAAGCGACAGGCTGTTTCATGCTAGGCGCAATCGTCACACTAGCGGCCTGACAATTGTGCTTAGCATGTTCACTTTTATATTGATATATATATATATATATATATATAAACCCTTGTAATCCCTTGTATTTTAGTGGATTTACTGCCTGGTATGGGGTGATACTGATTAATAAAAAAAAATATCAACCCCTGTGGATATTTAATGTTGAAATCTCTCTCTCTCTCTCTCTCTCTCTCTCTATATATATATATATATATATATATATATATATATATATACGTAATGTGAAGAAATATAATTTTAAGGTGTGCTATATTTATGGGATAAAGTGCTCAATATCAGAGATAGTGTATGTAAATATAGGCGACAGGCTGTTTCATGCTAGGCACAGTCATCAGACTCGCGGCCTGATGATTGCACCTAGGATGAAACAGCCTGTCACCTCTGAGTGTTGACTTCACTTCGCTAAAGCGTGAAACCCAGGGTCACAAACTCACATCTATCCAACCAAATATGTTAGCTCTATCTCTGATATTGAGCGCTTTCTAATAATTACCGCGCATATAATATATAAATGATTATACATATATATATATATATATATATATTTATTTATATACACTTTTCACATATATATATATATATATATATATATATATATATATATATACAGAATTATTTTTTTGAGATAATAATGATTTAGTGATATAAGTCTTACTAATTAACCGATGTCTGGGACAACAGGTGGATTCATACCTTTTCCAAAGGTATTTGTATGTAAATGAATACAACAAACCCAACTGGAATTGGAACTCAGCTCTCTGATTAACAATTTTGACCCATTATCCATTACACCACCTGCACATCCAAGCTTACAGCATGAGGTATTTCCAATCTAGGTAGCATGCTTGATGTTGCTTAATTTTAGTGATTGGACAATAATCAGTGTTTCAAACCAACTTAAACGTAAGCCATATTGGATGGTTGGTTGATTTTGTTTAATGGCATATCAACCCCTTTGGGTTATTTAATGCTGAAATCTAAATATATATATATATATATATATATATATATATATATATATATGCAATTTTTATTTTATTTGTGGAGATAATAATGATTTAGCGACAGAAGTCTTTCTAATTAACCTTTTGCTGTGGGAAGAAGAGGTGAAGAAATTTTGTTCATTGAGATAGCATTTACTTTCCCAAGAGTATTTTTGTATAAGTGAATGTATTTAACTTGACATGAAATCAAACTCCACTGAATTGCTGGCCATCACACCACCTGCACATGCAAGCTTATGGCAACTGGTATTCCCAAGTGGTCACCCATCTGGGTACTGACCAGGCTCAATGTTGCTTAGTTTTTTTGTGGTTGGATAAAAACTAGTGTTTCAATCTGATTTTGGCCGTAAGTCATATCTGATGGTTGGTTTGTTGGTTGATTGTTTTTGTTTGGCGGCATATCAACACTTCTATGGGTTATTTGATGCCAGAATGTAATATTTTGAAATTGATAAATCCCCAAGCAATGGGTTAAATATCAGGTGATCAAAAAAGGTGATAATCAGTTGGTGCAAAGTCAAGAAAATATGGCGAATGGTCTAAAAAAAAAGACCAAACAAGTTTCAAAATCTTTTCTATGCGGACATGCACGTAGTATAATGGATATTTTGTTCGGAATGTGAAATCTTTTCTAAATAGTTCAAATTCCAGTCGAGTTTGTTATATTTACAAAGAGTTCCAAATCTTCTAGGGAATTTTTATGAATCCATTTTTCCCCCCATCCTGGGTATGACGATAAAGGTTACATCCTTTATATTCCAGGGTAAGACTATAAACTACGTCCAACAGCAAGGACTCATATACTTAATTGACAATCACAAGTAAAAGTTGTATGTAATCCTAAATTGTAATATTATTTAACACCAAAAGGATAATAAATTTTTAATGAGAAATTAATATTAGGTTATCCTAAATATTATTACTGCCATAATTAATGCTACCGTGATGATTATTGAAAGTTTAGCGAAAGGTGAATGTTGCTGTGAACGCAATTCTAACCCAATGTTTACATTTTCTCAGCTGAGCTTGCATGGATACAAGTTGATTTCATTGAATTATTCTTCAAATAGGCAATCTATTATGAGTTTATGCCAGTAATATAAAAAATGGTAGAAATGGTTTTATTATTTTTATTATCAGTTTATTTGATAATGTGAATCTTTTCATAAAAATGTTATTATTGGTTTATTAAAAATGACAAACATCACTCAGAATTTAAAGTTTCTTTTTTAGAATTCTAGTATACGATGACCTCCAATTTTTAAGGGCGTCCTTGGTATGACGATAAACTACATCCACGTCCTGGGTAAGATAATAAACTACGTCCAACAGCAAGGCCTCTGATCAGGAGGTTTTGAGGAGCGTGGAACCACCTCTTAATTGCTGGTGCTCCCAGGTCCACTCTGACCTGGGGTGGTAGCACCCGTTAAGGTCCCAGCTATAGGCAAATAGTTAATGCCCAGACTTGTGTAAAAATAGGTTTTAATACCAGAAATACTTTGTAATAAAAAAAATTATTACCAGCAATGTTTTTTGAAGGAAAAATTATTATCAGAAATACTTTAAAAAAAAAAAAAAAAAGTACCATTATACAAACAAATATACATTCTTGAAAAAAAAAAAACATATGAACAGCTATTTATTTCTTCAAGGAAAAATATTCCCAGAAATAGATTTTTGAAGAAAATATATTACCAGCAATAAAAATTTTGTCGGCATTAAATAACTCATTGAGGTTGATGTGCCATAAAACAAAACAAACCAAACCATGTGCTCCCTCCAGATATGGATTAAATAGTTGAACTTATATTTGGATAAGTCACTGTCATTCTCAAAAAATGTTTAATACAATATTTGCTCACAAAAGAAAAATTATTCTTACAATCCAAAATAGGTTTTGGCTTTTAATAATGCACAAGGGATTGTTAAACCATAAAAAAAACAAATCCATCAATTTGTCATGTTATTCTGGTTGCTTGCAGGCTTGTATTTTTATCCACTGTGTATACTGCCATTATTATGTACAAACTAAGGTATGCTCGTGTGAGGAAATGTTTTATCAACCCAAACTTCAATAAATAATTTGAGTATCAGAAACGCCATCAAGAATTAACAAGTAATTATAAACAAGGTTTATAATAAACAACATTTTATGTACAATTTAAGAGAGATTACAAGGAAACGGAAAAAAATCCTTTTTGTGTCTGTAATGTTTAAAGTTTGTATTCATTTCATGTAGAGTTGATAAGGGTCTTACTTACTGTTGCTATGACTTACGGCCAGATGAGATTCAAACACTAGTCTTTATCCAATCACAAAAAAGTTGAAAGTTTGTTCATTGAGCAGCATGTGTCAGGCTCATTGAGCAGCATGTGTCAGGCTCATTGAGCAGCATGTGTCAGGCTCATTGAGCAGCATGTGTCAGGCTCATTGAGCAGCATGTGTCAGGCTCATTGAGCAGCATGTGTCAGGCTCATTGAGCAGCATGTGTCAGGCTCATTGAGCAGCATGTGTCAGGCTCATTGAGCAGCATTATGTGTGTGTCTCTTGACCTGCTGCTTTGAAACTGTTATTAAGACTGTTGTAAAGAGATGACTAGACTTTTGCTGACCAGACAGCATGTGTTCTGTTTTTTTTTTTTTTAATAACTGTTTGGCTGTCTAGACAGGCTAGAACTTTTGTGCGTAAGGCAATTGCTGTCTGTAAGTAAGCAGTCTGCATGGTAGGTGTCTGCTTGTTTCTATGGGCTGCTGCTGCTTGTGAGTGAGGATGAGTGGAAAAAAAATGCTCTCATGTCTGTTATTTTCATTTTTGCCTCATTTAGACGACAATTTATCTATCGCACCTGTACATACATGTGTGCATATATATATATATATATATATATTGTATGCATATATGTGTGTGTGTGTGTATGCATATATGTGTGTGTGTGTATGCACATATATATATATGTGTGTGTGTGTGTGTGTGTGTTTTATATGTGTATGTATATATATGTGTATATATATATATATATATATATATATTTATTTAAAATATAATTTAAATATTATATTTTTTTTCAACTCATGTTTCAAAACAATAAAATTTTCAATATAATCCTTTAATTTTTATTCAATTTAATTAGGAAATTTTTGAAACAAAGATTTTATTTATTGGATTTGGAATCATATTTTTAAATAAATAATTATATTTATGCTTTACTTTTTATAAAATGAGCACTATTTTTTTAAAATAATAACTAAAATACTAAGGAACTTTGGATTATTTACCTAACCAGTTCCTTCCTATTTTTATATATTTTCACACACATATATATATATATATATATATATGTGTGTCTGTGAGTATATATATATAAATTATATACACATATATATATATATATATATATATATATATATATATATATATATATACTTACAGTGGTAATATTAAGAAAAGGGATAAATATCAGGACATTTACACATGTGCACATAAACACACACATATGTTTATACATATATATACAAACAAAAACACACACATAAAGAAAAAAAAACTCCAGCAAAGACCAATAAAAAGAGCATAAATTATTTTTTTAAATTAATATAAAAATCACGAAAATGAGAAAAACCAACAGACAATTGCTGAGACCTCCTGACAGGTGGAGCAAATATGTTCATCTCCAAAACTCTGGAGTCGCGGTGCTGAATATAATATCAATTAGTTAAGTGACAAATTTTATGTTTTTATTAATCCTATATATTAACACAATAAATTTATATATATATATATATATATATATATATATATGAAGATAATAAGTCAAAAATTTATAAATCGAAAACCTTGTCCATTTTGAGTTTTTTCATTTGTATCCTCTTCTTATACTTATGGCTGTTATTGATATATAGTGATTTTCCAAGCATAGCTCAGATGTGGCACAAGCCTGAAAGTAGGGAGCACCCAGTGAGAATTGAACTCATTACTCAGTTGTAATTGTTCTAGCGAGACAAGCTGGCTAATGATTACACCACCTCGAGGGGTCCCTGTTTTTGATATATACTTTGTTAAAGTTGTTGAACCCAAATACTTAACAAAGCAAGAGGAGAATTTCCATGGGTGTTTTTTTTTTAAATCAAACTTGCATTGAGCTTATTTATTCATTAAATACTATGATAGAATCTCTATCTATAAAAGGCAGGATGTGTGCGTATGTGTGTGTGTCTAACAAATGCACGGCTGCAATTTTCAACGGATTTGCACCAAAATTTACATGCACATGCTCCAAGTTAGCAGGAAGGCCAAGTCCAACTTTGCATTTCCCAACTCCCATCGATAGTGGAAATAATCGATTTTTTTCATGCTTCTACGGCAGTTTTCATGTAGTTTTGGCCATTTTCTACTGGCCAGAGTGAGAGAAATATAGCTGGCTGCCACGAATAAGCAGGAAGATTCTATTGGCCAGCGTGAGAGCCAACAGCTGACTGACACAAATGTTAACTAGCATGCTAGCATGCAAAAAATTGATAGCTGTATTCGTCACAAGTGGGAAAAATTTAAATCTGCATGGCACTGTTTTACTCCAATTGGCTCATTTTTTTGCTTAAACTCAATGTTGATTCTGATTCTGCAGAACTGGGTTTGGTGTGAAAAAGTATTTGTTGTTAACATTCTTTTTTCATTTGGTTTTTCCAGTTACGAGTCCTTTTTTTAAAGCTGATCGTTTTGTGTTCATTTTGTTTAGTTCTTTTTTTGTAACAGATTGAATGTTTAGTATAGAGCTTCGAAAAAATTCGCAGTGTGAAATAAGCAAGAAGTAAGGCATGTAGCAACATCAGCACGGAAAAGGGCACTCCTTTAAAGGCAAGGAAGGGCAAAAATTAAGTCAAGTGATAGTGATTGCTATATAAGTCGTACGATTTTTGAATCAAGCACGGGCAATGCCGGGCCATGTTGCTAGTAGAAACTTAAAAATGGATAAAATGTAACGTTTTCACCATCATTATTATTATTTTGGTTTTTTTTTTCCATTTTCAGATTTTTTGAAAAAAAGGCTGTCAAAGGTAAAGATGAGGAAATATTTGAAGCACGGTCAGTGATGATCGATATGGAAACCAAGGTGATTGCCCAGACCTGCCAACAGGCAGAGCGTAGTGGTCAGTGGCGCTATCCTTCGGGTCAGCAGTTTTGCCAGAAAAGAGGCTCAGGGAATAACTGGGCAAATGGATTTTGTTTTTATGGTCCCCAGGCTGAGAATATTGTTATGAACATGGTGAGTGAATGAAAGAATTTACAAAAAAATGGCAGTATTACTGTATACACTTTCAACTCCCTCAGCAATGATTAGAATAAAAAAAAAAATGACAATATTATTGTATACACTTTTGACACCCTCAGCAATGATTAGAATTTAAAAAAAGAAATGACAATATTACTGTATACACTTTTGACTCTCTCAGCAATGATTAGAATTTTAAAAAAAACGTGATATAAATGAAAGTGGATTTATACATTTTCTTTATTCTTGAAAATTAACAACACTATTTATTAGATTGAATTTTTTTTCTTCTTTTTTAATCATTTCACCCCCAAGCAAGGCAATAAAGCCACTAAGATGCAGGGGGTTACTGAATGTTACAGAATATGAGAAAAAAAAACTATTAAGGAGAGATAACAATAAGAGAACAGGAATTAAGAAGTGTAATGTCAATCGACATCTGACACCCTGAGCTTTATTCCCCATCCTTCTCTGTATTCTTTCCTCAAACATGCCTCTTTACTCTTGTTCTCAATCCTCTGTAACCCCTTGCATGCTAGTGGCACTCCCGCTTTGCTTGGGGATGAATTGCCTTAAAAAAACAACAAAAAAAATTTTTTTTTAAAACTGTAAAAATGACATCATACTCATGTGACAGTTGCAAACATTCAAAACTCAGGTTCAAAATAAATTCCAAAGATGCAATTTTTCTATTAGAATCTTCATCCTGAGCAAGGCAATAAAGCCACTAAGATGCAAAGGGTTACTGAGTATTACAGAAAATGAAAAAAAAGAAAAAAAGCACTAATAAGGATAAAGGACAATAAAGAACAAGAATTGGCAAAAGCTAACAATTGCATTTAAATTTTTGAAGATCAAAGTTGACTGGGAAGCAAGACGTCAAAAGAGTTTTCCTAAGCGAGAAATGCTATAGAAGAATATGTAAGCATAGAACTAATGGTTACATCTAGACATTTCAATTGTAAAAATTGATTAAACTTAAATCCAATCTAGTAAATTTTAAATTCATAAAGTCTTGGTACCATAGAGCAAAATTCATCAGAACAATTACCATGAAAGTATTTATAGAAAAAGTCACAATGAAACTACGTTATGGACAAAAAAGGAAAGTGACTGAAGCTGAGATGTGAGGTCAGGACCAATAACATTGCAGATTCTTCTTTGTATTTTATCAAGAATCTTTAAATATGTAGCAGGAGTACCAGACCATATGTGGCATCGATATTCAAAGCAAGGACAAATGGTAAACTTATAAATATGTGTGACAGATTCTGGAGAAAAAATTGTCTAGCATTTCGCAGTGAACCAATGTTCTGTCAACCGAGTAAATTACCATTTTCCCTTTCCACCACCCCCTTAGATGCGAACTACTTTTTATAGCAGGTCGAGTTGCAAAAAATCCCAACATAATACTTGTTGATTTCAATCCAAGTTGGAATGGAATATTTATTGTTGCCCTTTTTACAACAAATATGGCACAAGGCCAAAGGCGGAAGTAGTTAGGGCTAATCAACACTTTCTATTGTAGACTTAGTGAATCAGATTCATGACCCATACATTCATTACAATTTACTCATTCACAACAAGAACTCATCCATCGCCGTTTAGTCTTACAAGTACCACAATACCACAATACCACATATTTGGAATATTCCAAACCAGAAATATCAAAAAAAAAAAAAAATTTGTCTTGCAATTTTATATACAGTGTAACCCGGATATAAGAGAGTTGTCGGGACTGGAGAAGAAGTCCCTTATATCCGGGTTTGGTCTATTTTATATACATTAACACAGGCTCTAATTTGGGACCAGAGAAAATCTCTCTTATATCCGGGTTTGGTCTATTTTATATACATTAACACAGGCTCTAATTTGGGACCAGAGAACATCTCTTATATATGATTTCTCTTATATCCATCTTTTCATTTTATTTTATATACATTAACACAGGCTCTAATTTAGGACCAGAGAAAATCTCTCTTATATCCGGGTTTGGTCTATTTTATATACATTAACACAGGCTCTAATTTGGGACCAGAGAAAATCTCTCTTATATCCGGGTTTGGTCTATTTTATATACATTAACACAGGCTCTAATTTGGGACCAGAGAAAATCTCTTTTATATCCGGGTTTCTCTTATATCCGGGTTACACTGTACATTAATAAGAGAGGTTCTGTTTGCTATGTAAATTCATAGAAATATGAAAATAAAAAATGTGATTATTTCTGGTCATTGTGCCAAGTGTACAGATTTCCCCCTCATCCAAAAAAAAAAAAAAAAAAATAGATAAAATAAGATGTTAACACTGAAGAAAAAAAGAATAATCAAGACAAGAATTTTTCTTTATTGTGATGAGTCCAAATGCAAAAAAAAAATTCCAAATCTTTTTTTCTTAAATTTCTTTTTTTTTTTATTTGTATATAAAAATAATAGCATCATTATTCAGTCATCAAATTAATTGTAACACCGGTTCCTTTACGACCACCACAAGTTAAAGAATATTGAGCTTAGTCAGTACTTAGATGGGGGATCGTTTTGAAATACTAGCTGTTGTAAGCTTGGGTGTGTGGCTGGTGTAATGGATAATAACTCGGAATTGTTAATTGGAGAGCAGAGTTCCAATTCCAGTTGAGTTTGTAATACTTTTAAAAGGTACGAATCCACTTCTCTCCCCATCTACGGGTTAATAAAACTTGTATCACTAAACTATTGTTATCTAAAAAAAAATTGCATACAAAGTATTTAGATTTCAGGATTAAATAATCCATAGAGGTGTTGATATGCCATTAAACAAAGATAACCAACTTTCTGGCTAAATGTCATTACTTTCCGAAGAAGTTAGTATTAACAAAAAAACAAAAATAAATACCGTATATTTCCACATATAGCACAACCTTTAGATAAGACAAGGTCAAAAAACAATGCAAATTTTCATGAATTTATCCTATACCTGTAATATAAGATGGATGCTTATTGATTACATAAAGATGAGGTAATTGTAAATGTTGTTACGTAACGTATCCTTATAAATTTAAAACAAACGAAATAACCAAACTGATTCTATATCATGTTTTTCCTACACACGTCCCTGAAAAGGGAAACCATTGTTTTGTTTATTTTTCATCATGTGATCTCTTGCAAATTCTTCTTCTTCAATATCTAAACAGTTAAAAACAGCCTGGTGTACTAATGACCATTTACTTATACTTAATTGACAATCACAAGTAAAAGTTGTATGCAATCCTAAATTGTAATATTATTTAACACCAAAAGGATAATAAATTTTTAATGAGAAATTAATATTAGGTTATCCTAAATATTACTACTGCCATAATTAATGCTACCATGATGATTATTAAAAGTTTAACAAAAGGTGAATGTTGCTGTGAACGCAATTCTAACCCAATGTTTACATTTTCTCAGCTGAGCTTGCATGGATACAAGTTGATTTCATTGACTTATTCTTCGAATAGGCAATCTATTATGAGGTTATGCCAGTAATATAAAAAATGGTAGAAATGGTTTTATTATTTTTATTATCAGTTTATTTGATAATGTGAATCTTTTCATGTACGTTATTGGTTATCGTGCCGACAAACATCACTCAGAATTTAAAGTTTCTTTTTTAGAATTCTAGTATACGATGACCTCCTATTTTTAAGGGCGTCCTTGGTATGACAATAAACTACATCCACATCCCGGGTATGATGATAAACTACATCTGCATCCTGGGTAAGACAATAAACTACGTCCAGCAGCAAGGCCTCTGATCAAGAGGTTTTGAGGAATGTGGAACCACCTCTTAATTGATAGTGTTCCCAGGTCCAACATGACCCAGGGTGGTAGCACCTGTTAGGGTCCCAGCTACGGGCAAATAGTTAACCCAGAAACTGAGGCAAAAAGCATTATAAAAGTATAAAAAATAGGTTTTAATACAGAAAAACTCAAAAAAATTAACAACCAGAAATAAATTTTAAAAAAGACTATTACCAGCTATATTTTTTTTTGAGGAAAAATATTTCCAGAAACAGACTTTTGACAAAACAAAAATACTACCAGAAAAAAAAAGGAAAAAAAAAAAAAGTTGTCGGCATTAAATGACCCATTGTGGTTGATATGCCGTAAAACAAACCAAACCAATTTTTAAGGGGGTGATTTTGGAGATTTAAAGGTTGTCTTATACAAAAAAAAAATATTGGGAATTTTTGCACATCTTACTTATTATAAAACGCAGATTGTGTGTGTGTGTCTGTACATTTATATATTGGATTGGACGTCCTACATTTTTCAACCGATCTCAACAAAACTTCACAGGACTAAGTAAAATTACCTTGCGATGGTTCTGACAGCGCCAAAAATTGGAAAAACAATTGTTTTTACATGAAATCAATTTTAAAACACAATAAAACATGCTTATGTCGCCAGAGTGAAAGGGGGACAACTCATATCGAGTTATACTTATTATAAAACCCAGGTTGTTTGTGTGTATGTCTGTACGTTTATATATTGGATCGGATTTCCTACATTTTTTCAACTGATTTCAACAAAACTTCACAGGACTACATAAAATTACCTTGAAATTGGTTCTGATAAGCGCCAAAAATTGGAAAAGCACAATTGTTTTTTAATGAAATCAATTTGAATACACGATAATGAAAGGGGACAACTCATAACAAAGTTATACTAATTATAAAACTAAGGTTGTGTGTGTGTGTGTGTGTTGGTTTATATATGGGATCGGATTTCCTACATTTTTCAACCGATTTCAACAAAACTTCACTTTTTTTTTCAGGTAGTGTTTCTTATTGTCTTGCACATTTTTTTTATTTATTTTTACATTCAGAATGCTTTAAAAATTCCATTTACAAGACAATTGTTTATAATAAAATTCTATTCAATCGGTAGACTCATAACGATTGAAAACAATGTTTTGTTTGAGTTTGTGTTTGACCAATTAGTAAAAAAAAAAAAAAAATACTAATTAAGACATGCGTGTCCGTCAACCTTAAACAATAATCTTTGTCAATTTTATTTTTCAGTCTTTATGATGGTCGATACTTGATCTCTCTCTTACTGTTACATCCCCGGGCAACGCCGGGCTCTACTGCTAGTACCTAATAAAAAGTAACGCTTAAATATAAAAAGCATTCACTTTTATCAGTTTTCTTTTTTGTTTTTCCATCTTTAGATTCAACGAGAGGCAGAGAAATGTGATCACCTTGGAGGCTTCATCATTCTAATGAGTGTGGCTGGAGGTACAGGCTCTGGGGTGGGTGCCTACCTCACTCGCTGCATTCGGGAAGCCTACCCAAATGCATTTATCCTAAACCAAGTAGTCTGGCCATATTGGACAGGTGAAGTCATTGTACAAAATTACAACACCCTACTGACCATGTCGCACTTGTATCGGTCCTCGGACGCCATTTTGATTATGAATAATGACAATCTGCAGGAAATCTGTTCCCGAAGGCTCCACATTAAACAGGTGACCTTTGCGGACATGAACAAAGTCATAGCCAATGCAATGGCCAGCTTTTTACAGCCTGCTTATAAGCGTTCCAGCAATCAGCCGATCAGGAACTGTTTCGGTAAGTTTTTGTTTTTATCAAATTGTAATGTGGATATAAAGTAGGGGATCGATTCTGTATTCTAGTCAATATACAAACTGATCCCTCACTTTGTATCCACTGTAATTTCTGTACATTTATATTCCAGAGAAGGTAAATAAATCTAAAAGACACATCTGTGTAGATAATCAATATTTGATTGATTGATTCGTTTTTTTACAAGTTATCAACCCTTTGCAGGTTATTTAAAGTCAGAAAATATTTTTAGATTGGAAGAATTACTTTTTTTTTTTTTTTTTTGAGATAATAATGATTTAGTGATACAAGTCTTACTATTTAACCCATAGCTAAGTCAAGAAGTGAATTCATACCTAATCAGAATTTTATAAACAAATTATAATGTGGCTATAAAGTGGGGGATCAAGTCCATATTAAAATCAATATAGAAACTGATCCCCCACTTTGTGACCACTGTATTTTCTATACATTTATATTCCAGAGAATGTAAATAAATCTAAAAGATATGCCTGTGTAGCTAAACAGTATTTTATTGATTCAGCATTTTTGACGGTTTATCAACCCTTTGCAGGTTATTTAAAGTCAGAAAATATTTTTAGATTGGAAGACTTTCTTCTTTTTTTTTTTTTTTGAAATAAAAGAGATTTAGTGATACAAGTCTTACTAATTAACCCGTAGCTGGAGGGAGAAGAGGTGGATTCATACCTAATCAGAATTTGATAAACAAACAAGAAATTATAATGTAGCTATAAAGCAGGGGATCAATTCCATATTAAAATCAATATAGGAATTGATCCCCCACTTTGTGACCACTGTATTTTCTATACATTTATATTCCAGAGAATGTAAATAAATCTAAAAGATATGCCTGTGTAGCTAATCAGTATTTGATTCATTCATTTTTTACAGTTTATCAACCCCTTGCAGGTTATTTAAAGGCAATAAATATTTTTAGATTGTAAGAATTTTTTTGGTAGGGGATGTAATAATGATTTAGCGATACAAGTTTTACTAATTAACCCATAGCTGGAGGGAGAAGTGGTAGATTCATAACTTTCCTAAGGGTATATGCATATAAGCGAATATAATAAACCTAACGAGAATTGGAACTCCATTACACCATCCACATATCCAAACATACAACACCTGGTATTCCCAAGCGGTCACCCATCTAGGTACTGACCAGGCTTGACATTGCTTAACTTCAGTGACCGTATGTGAATCAGTGTTAAGGTAGATTGAAAAAACAAAATGGGAACTAAATAAATCTAAAAGACATGCCTGTGTATTGTGTTAATTGATTGATTTTTTTATGGTTTATCAACCCTTTGCAGGTTATTTAAAGCCAATAAATATTTTTAGATTGTAAGAATTATTATTTTTTATTTTTTTATTTTATTTTTTTTTTTGAGATAATAATGATTTAGTCTAGGACATAATGAGGAAGGAGGGCCTGGAGAATCTGATACTCACAGGTCGAATTGAGGGAAAGAGAGACACTGGAAAACAACGTGTGACAAAACTGTTTTTGTTGTTTTTGTTTAAGTACTTGTAAGCGTTCCAACAATTTTTGATCCAAATGTGCATTTACTCGGTTTAAAATTGGAAAAAATAAAATAAATTAACCGGACAGACAACGTCGGTTGCATTAAATTACAACTTGTTTAAATGAATTCTTGGTGCTTAATAAATATATACTATATATGACAACATATCATGAGAAGGATTAAGTCGGACAATTATTTAATATGCAGGGTGTTTCAAAAAGAATATGCCAAAATCATCATGTGATGTGTCAAAAACGAAAAAAATTACAAACCTCTAGCATGAACACATGTGTTGTATATACATTCAAGTTTCATTTCATGTTTTATAAGTGCTCAATGTGGCCACCACCGGTTTTGCGGACAACATCAAGCCGGTATGAGAATTCCTCCCAAAAAAAATATTTCAGCATGTCACGGTCCATTTGTTGATTGCAGCTGTTATTCGATTCTTCAAGTCAAAAATACTTGCTGGAAGTGCTGGAACATAAACTTGGTCTTTTAACATAACCCCACAAGAAAAAGTCACACACAGTGAGGTCTGGGGATCTGGCAGGCCAAGCACAGAGAGCAAGGTCTTTAGCACCTCTCCTCCCAATCCATCGCTGAAGCACGTTTTCATTCAGATAAGCTCTAACCCGAGATGCCAATGGGGTGGTCCATCTTCCATCTTTGAAAAATGAAGTCATTCGAATCTGCTTGCAGTAAAGTGAATAGCCATTTTTGGAGCATTTCGAGATATTTTTGTCCTGTTTGAAAGCTGCAAAAGATCATGTATACTAACGACAAGCGGTGAAACTGACACCCAATCAAATTTTTGATAACTAAACTCTATCAAATAACCACTGATTCAGTCCACTACAATGCTATAGAACAAAAACAGTGTAATGATTTTGGCGTATTCTATTTTTAAAAACACCCTGTATTTTGTCTATATTTCTGAGATGATTTACAAAATATTAAGTATTTACATTAGTCAGACTATTGTCCTCATCTTTGTCGCCATATTTTTAAAACTTGTTTTTCGGCCGTTGTACGCTAAAAAAAAAATTTCTTCAGGTGAAATTTGGAATTTCGAACTGAACCCTTTAAACTCACTGGGGAAAGACTGTTTTTTAGTTCCACGTGCCATGTTTGATAGATGTGAAGTTATCAGATATCAATTTTTTTTTTGATTCTGAAAGTTCTCCATTGCCTCTGTCTGTCACTGGCACAGTGGATAAAGGCGTTGGTTAGATCCAGTGACAGACCCAAAGAAGGTGAGTTCAATACCTGGTTAAAAAAGTGGAGAACGTTCAGAGAAAAAATTTATAGGAGATAACTGATAACTGACATCCATCAAACATTATTTGGAACTAGAACAGTCTACCCCAGTGATCGAAATAAAGGGTTCAGTTCGAAATTCCAACCACCTGAATATTTGGAGCGTACAACGGCCGAAACGTTGTGACAAATATGGCGACAAAGATGAGGACAATAGTCCGACTAATGTAAAATATTGTACCCTGTTTATTCATTATTTTTATAGATACAATACACAAATTAAATGAAATAAAATTTTTTAATTAAATTATATTTGTTTACATTTTTACCGGTATGAATGTTCAGAAAAATTCCTCTTTGAGAACGCATATTTTCTACGAAATTTCTCGAAGATTCAGGCCGGTAAATGTAATTAATACTGTTTAATTAAAAACGAAACATTTACTTAAATTTTCAAGGGAGGTAACTATAGATTTTAATAAATTGAGTTATTCCCCTTGAACTGTTAAAAATATGTTGTCTGTTGGTTAATATAACTCAGTATTTTTTAATGGTATACTGAGGAAAATTTTAAAGGGTATACATTTACATGTTATGAAATAAAACCAGAGATTAAAAAAAAAAAATACACACACAAATGTGAACATACATTGCTTCAATGTTTCTATTCAAATATTTGTGCAGCTTATTTGTGCCTTTTTCACGATTTCTTCAATGCTTGATCAAATGTGTGATAAGCAGACACTCATTTCTTCTTCAGTTGGACGTAGTCTTTCTTGCTTCTTATTTTTGATGTTATTTAGGGTTGAGAAAGCCTAATTCCCATAAATAAGAAGTAGAAAATTGCAATGAAACTAATAAAGCCTTTTTTAGCTGATGTTGGATTAAAAGTTTAATACTTATTTATTTATTCAAATATTAACGCTGTACCATTACTACTTACACACACACACACACACACACACATACGTATGTATGCTGTGACAATATTTCATGATATGCTCAAAAAGATTGCACAGCACACTAGTGTGCCACTGCACAGCAGTTGAAAATCACTGATATAAACCAATAGTCCTTGGTATGACGATAAACTACATCCGGCAGCAAGGCCTCTGATTGAAAAATTGGAGCTTTTGTGGAGAGTGGAATGATTTCTGAATTCCTGTTGCCCCCAGGTCCATTCTGAACCGGAGTAGTAGCACCTGTTAGGGTCCCAGCTATGGACAGTGAACCCCCAAACAAAAGCAAATCACTATGAAAGTATAAAAATACATTTTTATAGTAACAACAGTACAAGATTTTGTCTTTAGTTGAAGGCATGCAATTGTGTTCAAAATATTTCTATTTTGGTATTCAAATAACCCATAGAGGTGTTGATATGCCGCTAAACAAAATCAACCAGCCAAACAACCAGCATGAAAAAACTCTTTCATGACATTATAATATCGTACAATTTCTTAAAGAAATCGAACTGTATTCTAAAACAAAATACAACTTCAACAAAACTACAACATAAAACATACATATCACTGCCTCTAGTAATCATGTCCACACAAACATGTATATCCATAAAAGCTGAGTATCATCTACCATGTATTCAATTGTGAAAGAAGAATAACATATATCATTTTTATTACTTCAAAGCTCCCAAGAAAATTAAATTTCAGCATTAAATGACCCATATAGGAGTTGATATGCCGTTAAACAAATTAATCAATCTATCATCTAATAGCATATACATTTAAATGCAATGCCAATCACTATCTACTATCTTCCTGGTTACTCTTTCCTCATCCTGCTCATTATGAATGTTTCTGTTCCTAATGTTTCCACACCATGTAACACCTTGTGTCTTAGTGGCTTTACTGTCTTACATGGGGTGAAACTGATTAAAAACAAAAAAAACATAATATCCCCTCTAGTAGTTATGCCCACACAAGCATGTATATGCACATAGGTCGAGTATCATCTACTATGTATTTCCGTCCTGGGTATGATAATAAACTATATCCGCATCCTGGATAAGACGATAAACTACGTCCAGCAGCAAGACCTCTGATCAGGAGGTTTTGAGGAGTGTAGAACCACCTCTTAATTGCTGGTGTTTCCAGCTCCACCCTGACCCGGGGTGGTAGCACCTGTTAGGGTCCCAGCTATGGGCAAATAATTAACCCTGAAACTGGGGTCAAAACACTATAAAAGTGTGAAAATAAGTTTTAATACCGGAAATACTTTGTAAAAAAGTATTACCAGCAATAAATTTTTGAGAAAAAAATTATTACCAGCAATAAATTTTTGAAGAAAATATTATTACCAGTAATAAAAATTGTCAGCATTAAATAACCCATTGAGGGTGATATACCCTAAACCAAACCAAGCCAAACCATGTATTTAATTGTAAAAGCAGAATGATATATTAAATTAATTAAATTTTGCTCTTGTCAAAATATCCTCCTTTAGCCTTGACTAGCAGTAGAGCCCGGCGTTGCCCGGGGATGTAACAGTAAGAGATAGATCAAGTATCGACCATCATAAAGACTGAAAAATAAAATTGAAAAAGATTATTGTTTAAAGTTGACGGACACGCATGTCTTGATTAGTTTTTTTTTTTTTTTTTTTTTTTAATTGGTCAAACCCAAACTCAAACAAAAACATTGTTTTCAATCGTTATGAGTCTCCTGATTGAATAGAATTTTTATTATAAACAATTGTCTTGTAAATGGAATTTTTAAAGCATTCTGAATGTAAAAATAAATAAAAAAGTGTGCAAGACAATAAGAAACACTACCTGACAAAAAAAAAGTGAAGTTTTGTTGAAATCAGTTGAAAAATGTAGGAAATCCAATCCCATATATAAACGAACACAGACATACACACAAACAACCTGGGTTTTATAATAAGTATAACTCGATATGAGTTGTTCCCCTTTCATTCTGGCAACAAAATCGTTTTTTATTGTGTTTTAAAATTGATTTCATGTAAAAACAATTGTTTTTCCAATTTTTGGTGCTGTCAGAACCATCGCAAGGTAATTTTACTTAGTCCTGTGAAGTTTTGTTGAAATCGGTTGAAAAATGTAGGACATCCAATCCAATATATAAACGTACAAACACACACACAATCTGCGTTTTATAATAAGTAAGATTACTGCAGCACAATTTTTTGGCATTCACTGCAAAAGTTTCTCAAAGTAAAAGTTTGATAATTGATTCCATTCTTTTTTCAATGACTCTAAGAGCATTTTTTTCATTTTTTTTTTTTATTTTCACTTTTCTGTCAAGTTCATTCCATACTAATTCTGGGAGTGACGTCAAACTTTTGAACTCTAGTGTATAGATATATGTTTTTGTTTATTCTAATTCCAGCCATACATTCTATTTTATCAGTGTCAGTCAGTTAAGTGCCATATGTGTTGGGCGATCATGTTTCTTTTGATTCATGACTGACTGAGCAGATAGACTGCAGTAGACTGGTTCCCAACTAAAGCTAAAGGACCTATAGCCATCCTGCTATTCAATCTATAACTTGGGAGAGAATAGTTGGATTCATGCCTTTCCCAAGGTTATTTGCGCATCAGTGCATATAATGAACCCGACTGGAATTTGAACTCTGCTCTTCGATTTCTCATCCAAAGCTGCTATCCATTACACTACAACTAACATTTACTCATTTCTTTCTCCCTTTTTCTTTTCTTTCTTCTTTTCATTCATGCTTTCTTTCTTTCCTTTTTCTTTCCTTTTTCTTTTTTTTCCATTCTTCTTTTCTCTCTTTTTTTTATTTCTCTCTTTCTCCCTTTCTTTCTTTTATTCTTTCTTTCTTTTATTCTTTCTTTTATTCTTTCTTTTATTCTTTCTTTTATTCTTTCTTTTATTCTTTCTTTCTTTTATTCTTTTCTTTTATTCTTTCTTTCTTTTATTCTTTCTTTCTTTTATTCTTTCTTTTTTTTTCTTTCTCTTTCTTTTATTCTTTCTTTTATTCTCTCTTTCTTTTATTCTCTCTTTCTTTTATTCTCTCTTTCTTTTATTCTCTCTTTCTTTTATTCTCTCTTTCTTTTATTCTCTCTTTCTTTTATTCTCTCTTTCTTTTATTCTCTCTTTCTTTTATTCTCTCTTTCTTTTTTTATTCTCTTTTTTTATTTTCTCTTTTTTTTTTTATTTTCTTTCTTTTCTTTCTCTTTTTTTTTTCTCTTTTTTATTCTCTCTTTTTTTCTTTCTTTTATTCTCTCTTTCTTTTATTCTCTCTTTTCCTTTTCTTCCATTCTTTATTTCTCCCTTTCTTACTTTCTTTCTTTTTTCTTTTCTTCCATTCTTTATTTAATTCTTTATTTCTTCCATTCTTTTTCTTTTATTTCTTTCATTCTTTCTTTTCTTTCTTTCTTTCATTTTTTTTTTTTTTTTTTTTTCATTCTTTCTTTCAACACAGAAATTTTGTTGGTTCATAAACATACTCTCCAATTTTCAATATCAATTTTTATGAAGGAAAATATTGTTAATCATGAGCCTTCAAATTTTCATAGCAGACAACATTCCTGTTGTCTGCTTTTTGAAAGCTTGAGCAACATTTGAGATAACATTGCTGATTGGTTAATAAATTTGAAGTTGGTGCTCATGTGATCCTGCTTTTGTGCAAAAATGAGTTGATGTCTGCCTGATCTTATTTTTTTGAGCCATAACCATCAGAGCACCACAAAGAATGTCATTGAACCATGACCATTTGACTACTATATAGAAAGTCAGTAAGCCATACTCTGATGATCACTGTATAGAAGTCAGTGGACTATAACCATCTGACCAATATAGAGGTCAAAGTATCATAACCATATAGCCACTATATAAAAAGTCAGTGGGCTATAAATATCAGACCACCATTAGAGAAGGTCAGAGGGCTGTAACCATCTGACCACTATATAGAAGTATATGGACCATAGCCATCTGACCACTATATAGAAGTCTATGGACCATAGCCATCTGACCATTATATAGAAGTCTGTGGGTCATAACCTTCTGACCAATATATAGAAGTATATGGACCATAGCCATCTGACCACTATATAGGTCTGTGGACAATAGCCATCTGACCACCATATAGAAGTCTATGGACAATAGCCATCTGACCACTATATAGAAGTCTATGGACAATAGCCATCTGACCACTATATAGAAGTCTGTGGGTCATAACCTTCTGACCACTATATAGAAGTATGTGAACCATAACCAACTGACCACAAACAGACGTCTGTGGATGATAGTCATCTGACCTGTATATAGAAGTCTGTTGGCCATAACCATCTGACCACTATAAGGAAGTCTGTTGGCCAGAGCCATCTGACCACTATATAGAAGTCTGTAGACCATAGACTGAATTTTAATTAGGATATCCTAAACTTGAGTATGAAATAAGAAACTTCATTTTATATGACGTGACTGTTATTGAGAAAATCACATGCCATAAATCCAGATTTATTACTCGTCTACTGAAGTAGGTTGTTTGCCAAACCACTCTCTCGTTTCCAGCCTATTAGTAATTAGAGATGACGATCAATTGGTTTTTAGCATATTTTTGTTCAGCCAGTGCCTAGTGGCCAGCCATTCGTCTGTAACTATGACAACTGATGTTGCAGCAGCAGCCGTTGTCAGATAAATGGACATTTGATGGAAGTGCGAGTGTGTGTGTTTGTGTGTGGGGGGTATTCATTTTTTTTTTTTTTAGACACACTGGTTTCATCTCAAGGATATCACTAAACTGTTTTTAATTTGTGATATCATTGGTAGGATAACATCATTTTTTTTACATTGTAAAAATAGTAGCAGTTTTTACTGTACCCCGTGTTTCTTGACTAAATATGTAAAAATTTTAATTGTTTTTTATATATACTTTTTTTTTTCAAATTATTAATGAGGTGACACTTTTACATACTATCCAAAAACTACTGGTTGGAATTTAACAAAATTATCAGAGAACAATGACAACATGTATATACACACGTACTCTTTAAAAATTGTAAAGTTCTAGAAAAAGGAACAGTCATTTACCTAATTTACTTAAATTATTAGTGTGTCAAATTACTAGCAAGGTGTAATAAGAAACCACGTAAAAAAAAAAAAAAGCGAAAAAAAACATTTTAATTACTTCATTTACTTATTTTTATGGATAAATCGAAATAAAAAAATAAACAGAGTTCAAAAAGGATAGTAGATTTGGTTATTATGAGATATATGATCCTTTTTTTTTTTTTTAAATGACTTGGAAAAGGCACTGATCCATCGAACACATCAATTTCTAGATCTCCTCTTATGTAATCCCACGGGATACGTTGACAATTTCCTGCCATAAGTCATCGTTGCTTCTAAATTGGCGTCCATTCTCATAAACACGTCACTTCAGAATGCTCCACAAGTTTTCAATTGGGTTTAAGTCTGGAGTCTGGTTTAAGAACATCCAGTTCATCTTCCGAGGTCTGCAGAAGCCAAATTTCTGCAGGTACTCTGTAGTTTTATGTGCTGAATGCGAAGAGGCATTATCTTGCATAAATACGATGGTTCTCCTGAAGGTGATTCTTTGCCTTTTTAGCCAGTTCCAGTTGCTCTTTGAGGAAGGCTATATAAGCATTTGCAGTTATTTTTATACTGTCAGGCACCCTTCATCATCGTCATCATCTTGCGGCCTCAGCCGAGATTGAACTCACTACACCTTTCTAGTATTCCTTATCTGTCATAGCTAATACTTTGATTGGTGTAGTTCGTAATCTTGTCAAATAGCTGAATTTTTGATGCTTCGCTAGGGCTATCAAGGGTGTTTTTATCATGACACCATCACTAAATGGATTGCCAACCAAGGCTCAGAGAGACTCCATTCACCCTCTGCAGGTTTTGAATTCAGAGTTTTCCTTCTCCTAGATCAGTTGCCATCCAAGGCTGTCCTGCTATTTACCCATAGCTGGAGGGAGAAGAAAGAGGATTCACACCTTTCCCAAGGGTATTAGCATGTAAGTGAATATAATGGATTCAACAGGAATTTGAACTCAGCTCTCCGATTCCTCAATCCAAGCCGCTATCCATTACTCCACCATGCCTCCATAGACCAACCATCTGTTGTGGAGTGATTTCACAGTGGAGGCTTGTATTTGTACTAAGTCGGTCCTAAAATAGGTTCGATGTACAAAACGTTAGGAACTTGATATAATAGGTATAACACAGAGTATTCTAGTTCTGGTCGCTGATACTTTAGTATTCGACTAACTGTCGTCCGACATCGACTGAATGACCGAACCCACTGAGCGACTCTTACTACTCCTACTTATTATAGGTGAGAGAGTCTATTAACTATAGAATAGGTGTGTTCCACTATAACACCATCATACCTCCAACAATACCGGCCCAAATCATAATATCTCCTCTTTGTTGACGTATCAAACATTGATGACAGTCTCATCTATTTACAACCCAACTTTTGCTCCAACCATCAGGGTTATCAAGTGTTGTACGACTTTCATCTGTGAACAGAATTCTCAAGAAACTGACTTTCATGTTCTCCTTTTACATTGGAAATGATTTTATTATAGAAATACATTGGAAATGATTTTACTATAGAATACATTGGAAATGATTTTTACTATTAGGAATGCATTGGAATTTTTTTTTTATTATTAGGAATGCATTGGAATTTTTTATTATTAGGAATGCATTGAATTTTTTTTTATTTATTGATATTATTAGGAATACATTGAATTTTATTATAGAATATTACTATAGGAAATACATTACTATTAGGAAATGATTTTATTATAAAATACATTGGAAATGATGATTTTACTAGGAATGCATTGGAAATGATTTTTATTATAGAATACATTTTTTTTATTATTATTTCAATTAGGAATGAATTGAAATGATAATTTACATTGGAAATGATTTTACTATAGAATACATTGGAAATGATTTTATTATAGAATACTTTGGAAAATACATTGGAAATGATTTTATTATAATACATTGGAAATGATTTTTATTATAGAAAATTTTTACTATTGGAAATGAATTTTTTTTTTTATTAGGAATGCATTGGAATTTTTTTTATTATTATTAGATTGAATGCATTGGAAATATTATTGAATACATTGAAATGATTTTATTATAGAATACATTGGATTATATTTAGGAAAATACATTGAATTTTTTTATTATAGAAATACATTGGAAATGATTTTTTTTAAATAAAGGAAATGCATTGAATTTTTTTATTAATTATTATAAATATAGAAATACATTGGAAATGATTTTACTATAAATACATTGAAATATTTTATTATAGGAATACATTGGAAATGATTTTACTATAGAATACATTGGAAAAATGATATTATTAGGAATTTTTTGGAAAATGATTTTTATTAAAAATGCATTGGAACTTTGAAATTTTTTTTATTATTAGGAATGCATTGGAAATGATATTATTATAGAAATACATTGGAAATGATTTTACTATAGAATACATTGGAAATGATTTTTACTATTAGGAATGCATTGGAATTTTTTTTTATTATTAGGAATGCATTGGAAATGATTTTTTTTATTATTAGGAATGCATTTATAGAATACATTGAAATTTTTATATTAAATACATTGGAAATGATTTTACTATGAGAATGCAAAATTTTAGAATACACGAAATGATCATTGTTAAGACCTACATACTTCCTACAGTTATTTACATGGAAGTGAATATAACAAAACCAAGTGGAATTGGAACACTGTTCTCTAATTTCAAATCATTATCATTCACACCAGCCCCACATCCAAGTTTACTGTTCCTAGTATTCCTAAGTGGTCACCCATCTAGGTACCGACCAGTCTCAATGATGCTGAACTTTGGTGATCATATGCGGATCAGTGTTTCAACGTGCAATGGCCGCAATCCCATCCTTCTTCAGACCTCGTGGACTGGCACTAGATAACCGCAAACCGATGAGAGAAACTGCATCTGTATTTCTCTATTGTTTCATGTCTAAGCAAATATACGAGGACTTTCGGCAGAGGCAACAACTTAAACAGATAGAGCGTGTAGCTCGAAGAGATTTAGAAATTTAGTATCAACCTCCAGAAAAGTGACTATTTGCACCTTATCAGGCTAACATTTTCCGCTGACATAACATGGAAGGTTCAATTGCTCGGGCTGTGTCATCAGAATCTATCTTACACATATCTAAGTCTGCCAGTCATCCATACATTGAATATTTCTGCCACATATGGCCCGGTACTCTTGCTATATATTTAGTAATTCTTGATAAAAATCCAAAGAAGAATCTGCAATGTTATCGGTCCTGACCTGGCATCTCGTCATTTTCACACTGCCATAACGTAACTTTGCCTTTTCTCTAAATATTTATATAATGTTCTCTTTTTCTCATATTCTCTCACATTATCATTGATAACTCTCTCCTCCAATTTGCAGACCCTTGTTACTATATTCTTAACACTTGATATAATATAAACATATCATATTGAGAAAATTGGTCAATAATTATTTATAGCTATTTATACTGGGACTCATGCATACAATTACAAGTAATCCATAATATTTTAAATTTTGAAATCATATTTATTTTTGGCATATGAATTTTTTGAAATTGTTTCTAAATTTTTGATTGCCTTTCAATCATTTGGCCTCATCTAAACATGGCATGTGGAACTAGAACAGTGAGCAAAATAAAGGGTTCAGTTTGGCATTCCAACCACCTGAAGAAGGCCGTAGTGTGCGACGACCGAAACATTGTAATAAATATGGTGACAAAGATGAGGACAATAGTCCGAATAATGTAAATAGTGTACATAATACCTCATCTCAGAAATATAGACAGATACTAAAAAAAAATGGTTTGTAAAAAAAATATGGCGACAAAGATGAGGATAATAGTCCGGAATAATGTAAATAGTGTATAATACAACATTTGAAAAATATAGACAGATACTAAATAATAAACGTTGTAATAAATATGGCGACAAAAGATGAGGGCAATAGTCCGAATAATGTAAATAGTGTACATAATACCTCATCTCAGAAATATAGACAGATACTGAAAAAAAAACGTTAATAAATATGGCAACAAAGATGAGACAATAGTTAAATAATGTAAATAGTGTACATAATACCTCATCTCAGAAATATAGACAGATACTGAAAGGTAAAACGTTGTAATAAATATATATTTAGACAAAGATGAGGGCAATAGTCCGAATAATGTAAATAGTGTACATAATACCTCATCTCAGACAGATACAGAACAACAGTTTGATTTAATTGTATATTTTGTGTTATAAATGATTTTTTTTTCCTTATCAGGATACAGACTTATTGATATATCTATGTCTATAGCAGCAAAGAATGAAAAAATGCTAACAGATAGACATATACCGAATTAGATAATTCTCTTGAATTTCTTGCCTGTGGGACTATCTTCCAGCTTTCCTGTCAACTACAATCTTCAAAAATTTAAATGCAGTGTCAATTGTCATCTTCTGTTCTTTTATTGTCCTCTATATTTCACTCTCAGTAATCCCTTGCGTCTTAGTGGCATTATCACCTTGCTTTGGGTGAAATGATTAAAAAGAAACCCCTGCATAAAATTTGCTGTGATTTATCTTCAAGTGTTATTGTGGCTTTATTCCAAAGACCTTTGCAAAGTGTTTCACACCCCTTTCTTTTTGTGGTCAGTCACATTCACAGACCAATTTTTTTTTCTGTTTGCTTTTTTTTTTTTTAAAGATTAATGTACATTATCTATAAAATAATAATTGCTTAAATGCAGTGTCAATTGTCATCTTCTGTTTTCTTTGGAACCTGTTCTTTTATTGTCCACTCTGTTTATTTCACTTTCGGTAACCCCTTGCGTCTTAGTGGCATTATCACCTTGCTTGGGGTGAAATGATTAAAAAGCAAACCCCTGCATAAAATTTGCTGTGATTTATCTTCAAGTGTTATTGTGGCTTTATTCCAAAGACCTTTGCAAAATGTTTCACACCCCTTTCTTTTTGTGGTCAGTCACATTCACAGACTAATTTTTTTTTCCTGTTTATTTTTTTTTTTTTTTAAGATGAATGCACATTATCTATAAAATAATAATTGTCTATCTCTATATTCATTACAAAATGTGGCACTTGGAAAACAACGAATCTCTTTGATTTTCTTGTGAGCATATTGTTTTGGATAATATTTCTATTTTGGAATTAACATTTTTGGCACATTATGGCTCTTTGAGCAAATAAATCCACTTCTCTTCATTTAAAGACCTGCTTGTCGACTCTTGGGTAAAAGAGTGATATTGAATAAAATTACAAGAATAAAGACCCAATTTCAGAATTATTGCCATCAGAATGGTAATATGTCTAAAGATGCAGGTTTTGTTTCAGATAAATGGACAAAATTACTTTTGTGCTGCCTCTTGGGGAATTCTGTGATTAATAATGGAAAGGTTATATGATACACTGGTTAGACATCAGCATCACAAGACCTAATATCCCCTCTCCTGCCTCTGCATGTATACACTGGTGGAGTGGGGGGGGTTGCAATTTCTGACTTGCTATACTGATGCTCATTAAAAGCCAGAGCAAATGTGAGAAATTGCTTTTGATCAAAAATTTAAATATCTATATTGATAAGTTTGAAAAACATTAATTTATTCAATGAGACATATATATATATATATATATATATAGCATAATGAGAAGCCACGTATACTTTCTTAATATGTATATATAGAAAAAGTTGCAAATTAAAAAAGTAATGTTTTTTATGAAAGTATTTATTTATTTATTGATATATATATTTAATATTTCAGATTGACCTCAATCTTTCTTCAGAAATTTTGCAACTTTTTTTATATATATATATATATATATATATATATATATATATATATATATATATATAAAGACATTTTTATGTTTATACATTCTTTTTTATAGATACAAATATTTAAGTAAATGCTCTGTTTATAATAAACAGTATTAAATAACATTTACCGGCCTGAATGTCCGAGAAATTTTCATAGGAAATATTCATCCTTTGACAGGATTCGAACCTGCATCCTATACGGAACCATCATTTACGTTGACGTGCCTTACCAATCGGCCACAAAGGAGCGTTCGGTAGGCAAGGTTGAATTTACTGCTTATAAACTTCAATCTTCCATGAATCTCGTACATTCATAACTGCTCATGGCGTATCAACTGTAAACTAATGACGTCATATATTAAGAAATGGACAAAGTCCGACAATTTAATTTTATTAAAGACATTTTTATGTTTAACGTTCTTTTTTTATAGACACAAATATTTAAGTAAATGCTCTGTTTATAATAAACAGTATTAAATAAAATTTACCGGCCTGAATGTCCGAGAAATTTTCATAAAAAATATGCATCCTCTGACAGGAATTGAACCTGTATCCTATACAGAACTGACTATTTTTCCGACTTTTAGATAAGGTATTGTGCTCGAAGATGTGGATAAACAGTTCAAAGTTCATATTTTTCTTTGTTTTTGTTCAAGTTCTTTGGCAGACATTATCAAGAAATGATGTGGTGTCTGCATGGTAGTTAGAATTCCTTTGTTTGCATCTTCGTTTTCTTTGGGAAGGTGGGCGTTTAAAATGGTTTAGCCTGCGCAATGACTATTGGGAATGAGACCGCACAAAAAGAATGCCATTTATTTATTTATTTATTTTATTAATTTATTTGTATTTTTTTTAAAAATATATTTTTAATCGTAATATAATATGCGTGCACATTAATTATGTCATATGCACTTCAAGAAACCGTCTCCTGTGGTGAATGATATTTTATTTAATGTGGACTGTTTATTTTACATATTAATAGCTTCTATAATTCTCAGTCTTTCCTTGCTTGGGTACCGTAGAGTATTTTAGTGTTAGCTACTAATATTTATTTTATGTTGATATTTACATTTTGGTCATTCATAATGTACTGGTTGATGTGTACACGGATTTCACGGAATTTCAGCAGGTGACAGGTCAATCTGTGAGATAGTGTGGTGTGTATGTGCCCAATATATATATATATATATATGTATATGTGTGTGTGTGTGTGTGTGTGTGTGAGAGAGAGAAATGTGTATATATATATATATATATATATATATATATATATATATATATATATATATATAATGAAAAGAAAGAACAGTAAGATATAAAATCTGGTGTTCTTATAGATATTTTTATTTTTACAAAATAGTGCTCAATGTAAATTTACAGAGCATTAATATTATAAATTAATTGATATATATATATATATATATATATTATTTATATATATTGTATATAAATGGTACTTATTGGAAAGCGCTCAATATCAGTGATAGAGCTAACATATTTAGTTGGATTGACGTGAGTTTGTGACCCTGGGTTTCACACTATTCAGACAAACTCATTTTGTCAAACTGAGTTTGTCTGATGATTGCAAATAGTGTGAAATGCAGGGTCACAAACTCACATCAATCCAAATATATATATATATATATATATATATATATATATATCTATATTTAGGCAAAAATTCTCTTTTTAAGCATGTCTGATTAAATATATATGGTTGTGCTAGCACAAAGTTGCAAGTCATCGTGACTGAGGGTTTGAGCATGCTGGCCTTGTTCAGACTGTTGATCATGCTAGATAACAAACACTCTCTCTCAGAAACTGTAACTAAGGTCTGCTCTGCATAGTTGCAGTATAAACCACAGGTGGGCTCTGTGGTTGTTGAATAAACACAAATGTGCCTGAGCAGGCGTCTGCAACGGGGATTAGCTAGCCACCCTAGTAGACTACCATCCTCGGATATATTTTTAAAATTTTGGGTTTATGTAGATTGCGTTTCCCCCCCCTTCCACAATAACACCAAT